TTGAAAAATGCCCCAGTCCGAAGTGGTTAACTTAACCTGAATCACTGATTCAGATGTTTTTCATCTGCAGTGTGTTATCACGTGTTTCCCGAAATACGTTACTAAAATAGGTTTCTTCTTTTCTTGTAATTTACCTACTGCAGTAGCTACAATATACACGTACATGTAAGCAGGAACTAGAAGAGAGATACATCAATTTGCATTTAGAAACAGTCAGTGTTGCACATTATACATGTAAATGTAGTTGTTCATCACAAGTCCTTTCGAAAGACCAAGTCCAGTTTGAAGTAACAGGGTGAACAACGACCAAAGAATGCTCTTCTCATGGTTCAGTTGAAATGGAAAACCCTGTGACTTGGCCTAAGCTCAGATGACTTGTCATGAACTTATCATGGACTTGAAGGAATTAGTGATCGACTCAACTTTAGACAGCGATGAGAAATTGACATGGATTCCCCTTCCAATTTTTACAAGTAAAATTTTAATAGTCCCATTAATTTGACAGCTTTTGAAGTCATGAAGCTACATGTACTAATAAGAGTTCATTTCCGTTCATTCAGCCACCTGTACAAAAGTAGTTTGGCCAGGAACTGACCTAAAACATCATGGGGGAAATAACAAAAGCATATGTGCTTGTATGACAAAACCACAAATGTACAGGTATGTAGCGTATACATGTACTCTACATGTACATGTACTGTTACATACACTGGTACGGTACATGGAAACATCATGTCTTGTGCATGTACATGTAAAAGGTATACAATGAACAGTACAACCTGTACACATACTGTACATATACATGTACAAAAAGATGCCGCTGATGGGGAACCACTTCATATTGGAAAATCAAGGGGTTTTTGTACAAGGGCACTGAACAAAACTAAGTAGAAGGTACCGGTACATGTACAGTCTGTGATTGTACAAATTACAATAAAAAAAGTTCCCTAAATTGCCAGGGAAATTTAAGTTAACAGCAAAGATTTGCTTAATTGTAATTTTTAATTATTACCCTAGAGTACTGGTGATTTCACAGATTTTCCTGCAAGTGGGAAAAGATAATCACAGATTTTCCCACACATACATGTACATGTATAACTGGGGAAACATTTTCAAACAAGTGGGAAATTACATGTACAGTACATACTACATGTACATGATTTTCACGCCTTGTTAAATGTGAGTGTGAATGTGAAATTGAATTCTTTTCACAACTTTTTTATTCACAAGGTTAACATCAATCACCCCTACATGTACATGTACATGTAAGTTCAAAGATACTGAATGAACACATTCAAACAGTTCATCAGTGAATTGTATTAAAGAGTACAGTACATGTATCTTTAGCTGCAATCAATTTGTTTTAATACAAACCTTCAAATATCACTTTTTTGTCTCAGTCTAATTTTCAAATTTTGTTTCACTATAGACCTTCACTAATAAATTCATAAGTATGCAAGCATGGGCAAGAAAGGCCTTGGTGTGAGGGCGCCATTGAAAACGTACAGGAGTACGTTTTCTCTCAGGTTTTCTGTCTTTGTTCAGTATTGCACATGGACAATTTAACTTACTGGCGCATGTACTTGCACATGGACAATTTAACTTACTTGTGCGTGTACCTGCACATGGACAATTTAACTTACTTGTGCGTGTACATGTACCTGCACATGGACAATTTAACTTACTGGCGCATGTACCTGCACATGGACAATTTAACGTACTTCTGCATGTCCAGATATGCACGTACAGATATACATGTACATAATAAAGAGTTAAGAGTGGGCTGCTATGGAGGTGCGCTCACCTTGCTTTTTTGGGTCAGACGTCCCACCATCCCGTATCAGCTGCTCCACTTCCTCACGTTGCTCTACAAAAAAGAAAACAAAAAATTCCCTAAATCATGGTAATAAAATACATGTACATGTATGTCCACAACATGGTTCTGAGCTTGTAATCCAACAAGTACTCACTGTACATGTACCTTAGTACACATTCATGTACATACGTGTATACACATGTACATTTACATACATCGTTACTTGATCCCTGTATTTTGCTTCTACTACTAGTACACATGTACCTGTTCTCATTCTCAGGACAATTCATGTACCTTTACACTTACTCTACATCTGAGTGAACATGTACAAAACTAAAATTCTTCGATAGGGGAATAATAAGCTACCGGTCAGTGCCGGTCTTAACGGTGCAGGAGAATAGACACTCTTGTGGCTCGGGCATTATCAGCGTTCAGACACCTGAGCCACCCATTCATAAATACCTTTTTAATCAGAGAGTCAAAGGAAGTCAATATATGATGGATTTCCAGCGACTGTGTTCTGGAATTTACTTTCCTTTTTCCCAACACCCTTGTCCATTTGCAAATTGTTCAATTGGCGCACACATGGGGAGCCACATGCACACAGACTCTTGACCAATCAGAATTGATTTAACTGTCTGGTATACAGGCGCCAGAGCATGATTTAAGCAGCGGGCATTATCACTTCTCAGCACACATTATCAAATACAGAGTATTGATACACGGTCAAATTGCACGTTGTTGAATAGGGAGACTGTCTGAGGTAATTATGAATTCATAAAAAAATACATTTGCGGGATACATTGTATGTACATGTCCAGTCCAGTACTTACAATAAACTTACACGTATTTTTCCTTTAAACTGACCCTTCCAAATCACGAATCACATACACTGTACATGTACTACTCCTGCAGAGAAATGAGTAACCTTAAAAACACAACTTACTTAGACTGATACCCTTTCATGTATTTCAACAGTGGTACGGTGAGAAATTCTTTAAGATGAACAGCACACATCTCCCAGACTCCCACACTACTTGGAGTAAAAAGTTTCAGAATCATTGACTCAGAGACAAGTCAGACGATAGACAACGGCATTCCTCTCCAAGAACAGCAAAGTAAATTATACCACCAATAGAAGCCCCATCACTGTTCAACAACACTCGCAATCAAACACTACATGTTGCTTGCCACTTCCACTCCTGAATGAGAAGCAGGGCGTTCAGAGGCTCAAATGTCAAATCAGTGAAAGCCAGACAGGTTTCCCTGTTCTGGGAAGTTGCCCAGTGAATTCATTACTGAACTGGGTTAGCTTGGGCTAGTTACGCTGTTATCATTACAGGGGGATTGTGTAACACGTACATACATGTACATGTACACTTCTAAAACTCATCATCCCTCATGTACATGAACATGAATGGGGGGATAGGCTGATCCATTCACAGGTACATGTAGATGTAC